GAGGGAGAGACAGGTTAGGTTTTGCAGAAGACTGGTGTGGGACTGCCTCCACATGAATTAACCAGTCCTTGATGTTGTGGTTGAAGGTTGGTAGAGATATCCGTTTGTCGTCCATTCTTGCGAGAGTGCGTCACACCTGTTAGGTAAGGATGAGGGATGGGTGCTTGTTCCAACCCCCTTCCGTGTTAACAATCTCCTGGGAAGGAGGTGAACAGTTGCAGGGGGTACTTCAGGACGAATACACTTTTTGAGGGTGCAGGTCCCTGGGCCAGAGCGAAAAAACAAAAGAAAAAATAGTAGAAGTAGGCAAAAGAGCTCAAACTACATCTGGAATATCGCGCTATAGCTGCTCTCCGGCTGTGATGTGAGGTTGTAGTGGATTTCTCCCCTACAAACGCTGTTTGTCGCTGAGTAGCCGACCCCGCGAATTCCCCAGTGTATGCCTCGTGGTCTAGGTCAACCAGCGCCGCCTTACATGACGGAGGTCAACTACTAAGCCACGCCTACCTCCGCTATTTAAGACCTGACCTCGTGGTGACCACTCTCTTCTTCTAGCTACAGCCGCAGCAAGCAACACCACCTCCTCTGCCGCTGCCTGGCGGCCCTCGCTCCCGCCGGCAAGCATGGCGACCCACAAGCTGGTCCTCCTCTGAGCACCCTCACCAACCAGCTCTCTCTACATCACGCTTGTAACCACACTGCCACTTTCCAGCACCAAGCTGCATTGTACATCCAATACAACATATATACAGAGAGCACATTGTGAGTTTCCTTTCTCCATCCCATCCTGAGTGTGAACCCAAACATAACGTACCCCACAAGGTCATTCGCACCACCAGTGGGGAGAACAAACTAATGCTCAATAAACCTAAAGGTCGTGAGACGTTGTAGTGGCGGGTGGTCCAGTCAGGTCAGGTGGCCAACAACGGCAGCAGAGGACGGGCGGTCCTCACAGCTCCAGGGGTATGGCAGCAGAAAGCATGATGTTCACAGCTCCAGGGGTATGGCAGCAGAAAGCATGATGTTCACAGCTCCAGGGGTCACCAATTGTAGCGTACTGTATGGGGCCAGTTGTCAAATTATCTTTGTTTGTCTATTTCTCTTTGTATGAGCTCACATGCGTACGTACATGTAAGAGATCTCACACTCAGGATGGAGGTAAGAATAGAAACTCCCAATGTGTTTTCTGTATATATATATTGTATGTACAGTGCGGTGCTAAGGAGTTGCGGTGTGGTGAGAAGCTTGCTCAGAGGTCCTGTTGGGTAAGGAGCTTTCTGAGGGAGCTGGTTGGTGAGGAGCTTGTTAGGAGGTCTTGCTGGTTCAGGAGAGTAGAGTAGAATGAGTTCCGCAGCCAGGCCTGCGCGTATTTATACGGCTGCTCAGGATCAGAGACACGAGGTGTGAACTGTGCTGGGCCAATCACTGTGCAGTACACGAGAGAGGACTGGTACGCTGATCCTGGCTGAGAAGTGGAAGGACAAGACTCTGTCATGGATAGTGCTCCTCCATCCATACCTGAGATCTAGTCTGTCGACGTTGCTGGCTGTAAGCTGATTGGCTGGTAAGCGAACGGCAGGTGATCAGTCGACAGTTGTAGGGAGAGTATCCACTACAACAGCACATAGTCCAAATTTAAAAAAAAGAAAAAAGAACAGGACCATTTAACTGTGTATCAAGCTGCTTGATACACCGGTAAATGGTCCTAACCATAATGTTAAGTTAGTTTAGGTTGTCTGTTCGTAAGTTATTTTGCAAAACTACCAATATGCATGCCGGTCATTTTGCAAAATAACCAAATCCACAAAAAAACGTAACATATACGGTACTGTATATTGTAGTGTTCGCAATCATATTCATTTTATATCATTGTATACCTTTAAAGAATTTAAAAAAATCGTTTTCTTTCTTATGGACGACTGGCCACTTGATGGCGGAACAATCGGAGGCTCGCTTCTTCCTATATAATTTCCTTGTTTTCAGCCCTCTAATTAAATGTTTCCTTTTAGTCCAACATATGACATAGTAATATCCAAGGAATATATCTTGTCACTATCCTTTGAGAATTCTCTTGCCATACATTCCCATGGATTATATTTCATGCTGGTTTAGTGCAGTATACCTGTACAATGATACTGTTGACTCACTGTTCTCGGTTTCATTCCTTCCCATATAAGACAAAATTTTGAAAGGAAAGTTAAAAAATGTATTAATTTTGGGATCCCTAAACATTTGATGAGGTTGTAGTGGATTCCTCCCCTACAAACGCTTGTCGCCGAGTAGCTGACCCCGCGAATTCCCCAGTGTATGCCTCGTGGTCTAGGTAAACCAGCGCCGCCTTACATGACGGAGGTCAACTATTAAGCCACGCCTACCTCCGCTATATAAGACCTGACCTCGTGGTGACCTACCTCTTTCTACCTGGCGGCCCTCGCTCCTGCCGGCGAGCATGGCGACCCACAAGCTAGTCCTCCTCTGAGCATCCTCACCAACCAGCTCTCTCTACATCACGCTTGTAACCATGCTGCTTTCCCAACACCAAGCTGCATTGTACATCCAATACAACATGTATACAGAGAGCACATTGTGAGTTTCCTTTCTCCATCCCATCCCGAGTGTGAACCAAAATCCCATAACCCCACAAATGGTGACCCCCAGAGATTCGCACTCACACAGGATGGAGGAGAAACATCTCACAAAACCCCACAAATGGTGACCCCTGGAGATTCACACTCACACAGGATGGAGGAGAAACATCTCACAAAACCCCACAAATGGTGACCCCCGGAGATTCGCACTCACACAGGATGGAGGAGAAACATCTCACAAAACCCCACAAATGGTGACCCCCGGAGATTCGCACTCACACAGGATGGAGGAGAAACATCTCACAAAACCCCACAAATGGTGACCCCTGGAGATTCACACTCACACAGGATGGAGGAGAAACCGATCACTCTCCCAGTCTTTAAGCAACATGGATGACTGGCTTATCCACACAGAGACAGCTCTCATCGGCTCTACAGCTACTGTCTCTACACCGCAGGTTAGACGCTGTAGTGGAATTCTCCCCTACAAACGCTGTTTGTCGCTGCCTAGCCGACCCCACCAATTCCCCAGTGTATGCCTCGTGGTCTAGGTCAACCAGCGCCGCCATACACCACGGAGCGGGGGTCAACTGCTAAGCCACGCCTACCCCCGCTATTTAAGACCTGACCTCGTGGTGATCTGTCTCTCTTTCTACCTACACCAACCAGCCAGCAACACCTCCGCCTGCCTGGCGGTCCTCGCTCCTCCGCCTGCCTGGCGGTCCTCTCTCCCGCTGGCGAGCATGGCGACCCACAAGCTGTCCTTCTCTGAGCGTCCTCACCAACCAGCTCTCTCTACATCACGCTTGTAACCATGCTGCCTTCCCAGCACCAAGCTGCATTGTACATCCAATACAACATGTATACAGAGAGCACATTGTGAGTTTCCTTTCTCCATTCCATCCTGAGTGTGAACCAAACATCTCATACCCCACAACGCCCTAGAGCACCACTGCTTCTCTAAGCAGACACCAGCTCCTCTTCCTGCCCCAAGCACCACGTCCTACCGACCCCTGCAGGCGCATCTGAGGACTCTGTACCTGCTGTGAGGGAAGCACAGCATTCATCGACCCCACACACCGTTTTTTTCCCTCAGGCACTCCCTGCTACTGTCCTGCACCCTGCTGCTGTCGTGGACCCAGCTGCTGTTGTAGAACCTGCTCCTATCATAGACCCTCCTCCTGACGTCGCCCCTGACCCAGTCATCCCAGCCAGTGACCATGAGGACGCTGCCCCTGCAGCGACAGAAGCACAACATTCATCGCCCCCACACACCCTTTTTCTCCCTCTCTTCTCCCACAGATCTCGTGTGTCTAGAGAACTGTCTCCCCTAGCGGCCGGCTCATCCACGCCCTTGCCGTTATGTCTCACATGTGGCATGCACCGCCCGTTCTGCCTCACATGTGCCATGCAACCCTGCAGACAACAAGTCTCCTACACCGCCTGGAGGGAAGGGGGAGTATTGTAGTGGATTCCTCCCCTACAAAAACTTGTCCCTGAGTAGCCGACCCTGCTAAACCCCAGTGTATGCCTCGCGGTCTAGGTCAACCAGCGCCGCCTTACATGACGGAGGTCAACTATTAAGCCACGCCTACCTCCGCTATATAAGACCTGACTTTGTGGTGACCTACCTCTCTCTACCTACACCAACCAGCAAGCTACACCTCCTCCAACCGCCTGGCGGCCCTCGCTCCCGCCGGCGAGCATGGCGACCCACAAGCTGGTCCTCCTCTGAGCACCCTCACCAACCAGCTCTCTCTACATCACGCTTGTAACCATGCTGCCTTCCCAACACCAAGCTGCATTGTACATCCAATACAACATGTAAACAGAGAGCACATTGTGAGTTTTCTTTCTCCATACTATCCTGAGTGTGAATCAACATCTCGTACCCCACAAGGTCACCAGGTGTTAAACCCAGTACTGAACCCATGACCCCATTGTGAAAACACCCAATTCTGTATTTACATTCCAACTTGCAGGTTAATATTTTTAGATGATAATATTAATGGTAATAAATATTCAAAGTAAGTTGGTTAAATTAACAAATATGTGTTTGTAAATCGTTTATTTTTTAACCAACCTTTAGTTTGTATCCTAAAATCTTTACTAGTACCAAATCGAGGGGTTCGGGATCTGATAATTGATGTGACAGCTGTGTTAAGTGAGCAGCAGTGGTGCCATTTTAGCGGTAAAACCGCTAAAATGGCACCACTGCTGCTCTCTTAACACAGCTGTCACCTCAATTATCAGATCCCGAACCCCTCGATTTGGTACTAGTAAAGATTTTATGATACAAACTAAAGGTTGGTTAAAAAATAAACGATTTACAAACACATATTTGTTAATGTCTGGCGGATTTCTAGCGATTTTAGTTATATAATTATACTTGCATAAGTATAGACAGTCAGTGGAAGGATGTCACTCTTGTGAAATGGAATGAAGTTTCACAAAGTGTCCTGTTTTGGAATGAAGTACATAACTACATGGACGAGTCACATTGTAATTCATTCAAGGATTGGCAGTTTGCTTTATCAGTTCTCGTCATACCCCACTCTAATGCCGAAGTAGAAAGGATATTCAGCCAGTTATATATAGTGAAAAATAAACTTCGAAACTGTTCTTGCAATGCGAGCAGGTTGGAAAAGAAATAAAGTCTTGTTTTGAATATGAAATACCGGCTGATGTCTTGAAATTGATTGGAACTAGAAATGCATACGTCTGTGAACCAATCCTGAAATCAACACCAAGAACAAGTACATCTTGAGAGGAAACAGAGGTAGAGGAATTAAATGATTCCTCTCTCTTCCTGCTTTAGAGGTAGGCCATGCATATCCTTTGATGTTGATTATACGGTGGACGGAAATAAAGTCCACAGGAAAAGAGTCACATGACTTGTACACATTGACAACACTATATATATATATATATATATATATATATATATATATATATATATATATATATATATATATATATATATATATATATATATATATATATATATGATGGCATTGCACGTAGGTTAGGTTAAGTTAGGTTAGGTTAGGTTAGCTTAGCTTAGCTTAGCTTAGCTTAGGTTAGGTTAGTTTTTTTCCGTGCCTTTTTATGTGTGACTTTTCCTGGAATCGATTATACATTCATATTACTTTTGTAACATGCCCACCGGTGTGTTAATTAGCTATACGTCTATGTACCATACTTTCTATATTTATCATTCTATATATATATATTAATCAGTTTAATTGTCTATATATCTGTATACGGTATATATAAAGAGGGTAACACATGCTATTATCTGTAGTTACAATCTAGCTTGTTTGGGGTCAGACCTTGCGGCTTTGGAGTCTCATATAGCGGGTTTGTAAATTTGTAGATGGCAACACTGGTGACCAGCTGGGCCCAGGGCTACAGCCACAACAACAACTCTACAACCTGTGTAGTTTGAATACTTTATTACTAAACTTACCTCTTAACTTGACTGTTACAAGAACCAAAGAAAAAAGAAGGATCTAATTGCTTACTTCATGTATCAACACCAGTTATGAACAAAATGGAGAGGAGAATACTACTGGACAATGAAGTGGAGATAAGTGGTGAGTACCTCATTATCGGTCCGCTTAATTACCCAAATGTACCCAAATATAGCCGGAATGAAGTCAAATAATGGTCCTAGATGAATAAATCGGACTGCTAATCACTTCTCGACTGGTATTTGGTGTCACAAAGTCACAAAAAATTGGTAAACTTAATCTGAGTTAATAGATCAAGTGCATGTACCTAACCTAACCTAACCTAACACAACTCAGATTAAATTAAGGTTACCAATTTTTTTTACTTTGACACCAAATAATAATCGAGAAGTGATTCACAGCCCGAATTACGCTTGTACGACCATCATTTGACTTCATTGCGGCTACATTTGGGTACATTTGGGTAATTCCTCGCTCCCTCTGTACATGCACGTGATCTATTAACTCAGATTAAAGTAAGTTTTCCAATATTTTGTGACTTTCTGACACTAAATATTAGTCGAGAAGTGATTTGCAGTCCGATTTATTCATGTAGGACCATTATTTGACTTCATTGCCGCTATATTTGGGTAATTAGTCGGACCGCCCGTACGTTATAAAACTTGAAATAGATATTTATTAAGTAATAATGTCGTACGTCGCTTAATAGGACTGAAGTAGAGTAAATTCGGTAAATTTATAGTAGTTAACACAACTCTGTTATATAGTCAAAACTATGTTTTTCTAGTATGTATTTTTGTGTTTTGATTGGTTCTGACCTTGATTTCCGTCGGAAATGGCCTGTTTTTTCAGTTAACGCCCCCCTTTTACCCCCAACAAGATAGGAGATCCTGTTGGGAACCGGGGTTTTCTGTTGGTCGTTTTGCCTCAAAAATCATGGCCAAGTGAATACAAAACACTAGAAAAACATATATTCCTAACCTGACCTAACCTGACTTAACCTAACTCTCATGGTAAATTTACGTAACCAAACTCACCATGTAGGGTTACGTGAGGTTATGTTGTCTCGCACTCAGGATGGAATGAATGGAAACTAGGTGGTGGTTTTCTTATATAAAATATATTATATACAAAACAGTCTGGTGCTGGAGATGCCGTGTGGTGAGAAGCTTGCTCAGAAGACACGTTGGGTGAGTAGCGTGCTGGAGCTTCGTTAGAGGAGGTGTTGCGTGTTGCAGGACTGTAGCTAGAATGAGAGCTGGACAGCGAGGAGCTTGCTCAGAGGAGGTGTTGCATGTTGCAGGGCTGTAGCTAGAATGAAAGCTGGACAGCGAGGAGCTTGCTCAGAGGAGGTGTTGCGTGTTCAGGAACTTAGGGTAGAATGAATCTCAATAACGAAACTGAGAGCTTATATGCACGGCTGCCGGAAGTAAACCCAGATGCAAGCGTCGCATGGTGGCAACCCCCGTGAGAACCTCGCTGGTGGTTGAATTCCATTGCTATAGGATTCGGCTACGCTGTTGTAGGGGAGAGATCCACTACAACCATATGAGGGAATCACTGTTATTTCTTACCTTATTGTCCTGGTTCCGGTTCTTTGTCTTGGGAATAAGGAACAGGTTACTACAATGCCAGCTATGTTGGTCTTGACGATATTTACACTCCTTATTACACTTAGGACACTGGGGTTTACGTGATGTAGGAACCCACTAGGATGGAGGTGAGAAGGGAAACTCACTATGGCGTATTCTTTAGAATATATTATATGTACAATGCAATGCCAGGGAGTTGCTGTGTGGTGAGGAGTTTTTTGAGAAGAGGTCTTGTCTGTTTGAGAGCGCTCAGTAGAATCCCCTTCACGGCGAGGCTGTGGGCTTATATACGAGTCCACCGGAAGTAAGCGTCGCTGTTGGCCGCCCCTGAGCAGTCTGGCGCTAGGCTTGTCAGAAACTCGCTGCGGGATCGGCTGATCAGCGACTAACTGCATTGGCAGTTGTAGGGGAGAGTATCCACTACAACACTTTACTGAGGTGAGAAGAAAACCATGAGATCTAAAAAATGCTTTTGCTTGTTCTTTTTTTTCCCCAAAATGCGCAATCAACTCCATATAATTGAAGTGACACCTATCGCAGACTTCCATGGTCGGAAATGAATTTGAATTTAGATATATGAGAGACCCAAAATCACAATAAAATCTGTTGATTGGGCAAGAAATACTGCAAATTCTAAAAGCAGAAACCACAATTAATTTTAATTGGTGGTAAAAAAAAAAACCCTTTTGAATGGCCGAATGACGTGTACAGAAACGCATGTGCATGATGATTCATGAAGGGAACTCGCTGAGTGGGAGGTCGGGTAGGCAATAATGGCTGAAGATTAATGGAAGAAAATAGAGGAAGATTTTGCATGCGTTATCTCCGTTATTATACGTTTCCTACGGTAATGTAATAGAAGGATATTATCTTAAAATTAGACGTATTTTTCGAATATGATAATAGATTTGGGGGAAGAAAAGTTGTGTGAACTTCTATAAACATACCGTAAATTTTTAATTGAAAACAATAACTAAAAAATTTTACAAGTAGATTCGGTTAATATTTAGAAGTTGCCAACACCTACTTATATATTGCATAATGGATATTCTGTCGTGGCCGGCTAAGTTCCTATTTTACCTTGAGTATGCTCTGATTAGCTAAGTAATTTCTGTTTAATATGACGGGGTGGTCGTGCCCAGGCTAAGAAGTTAGGTAGGTTTCTTTGGTTGGTTAGGTCAGGTTTTATTAGGTTCTAGTACATTGAATGTTGCCAATTTTATAGTGATAAGTTTCCATGCACAACAAGAATATGGTTAGGTATGTTTACAGCTACACAACGATTGACTTACAGTGAAATAAATGCCAAATGTTGCCAGAGTCCCGGTCAAATATAGTTCTTGCGTTGTTCGCCGGTAATGGATGATTAGCCAATCAAAGGTTACTCACGGTAAAATAGCGTTATTAAAACTTAGACGGTCATGGCAAAATATCCACTGCCTATATATTGAGTCTTATATACAGTAGGAAGAAAGAGAAAAAAAATAGTTTAAGTAATTATTGACTACTGACCTGCAGCTGATTTTTCATAGAAAACTGTTCTAAAAATGCCACAATTTCACTGTGTTTTATAGTGGACTCTCGTAGTTTGTGCAAATGTGTGAAGAAGTGGTTATTTCTGAATTAAAGCTAACCTAACTTTAGTTGATAAACAAGCAGCAGAAGTGTTGTTAGAAGACCACACCAACCTAACCCTACCAACTTCCTAGCCCCCAGACCCTCCGGTATATTAAACAGAAAGAACTTACTATGATCTGGTGCAATTTTACGTTTTTTGTGGACGTGAGAGCAGCCGCCCGCACTGAACGGTTCATAAGCATACACTGAGCATCAGCGTTGATCCGGATCCGGGTGGCGGAATGTTTTGAAATGCGTCAATATGATTGGCTGTTTACATCCTGGGATGAGACATCACCACCGCATTACTGCCGAGAAGACAAAGTAGTGCCCACCTAGGCACCCAAATATGTACCAAACGAAGCATTTGCACAAGAAATGATTATCATATCAGAACTCACTGATGAAAATAAATTAAGAAAATACGTAAACAGTAAAACTTGTCTGTGGGGTCAGTCATCAATATTAACTATAGTTTATTCTATAGCGTTTCCATAGGAAATTTATATTTTTGAGTATTTTAACTGATAAAATTACCCAAGTATTAGTTGTTCAAAGTGGGCAGGACTGTGAAGTATTGGGAAAATGTGGGTTAAAATACTTAAAAAGAACACCAAACAAACCTTTGAAAGTCGTACCTAACGTTTTCTAACTTGTAAAAATGTTAAGAATTGCTTAGAGTTTATGGATCCCTCCTCATCTGAGCACTGAAAACACCACCAACATCTACTAAATACTGAAAACATGAATAAGGTAAACTTTTTATAGTTTTGGGATTTTTATAGGTTGGGAAATGTTAGGTTGTTCTTGTGATTTGAACAAATCTGACCTAACCTAACCATAAAAACCCTATACGTATTACTTTATATTAGTAGGTGTTGGCAACTTCTAAATATTAACCCCATGCCTTCATTATAATGGCTACTATTCTAAATTGACCAGCCACTCTCATAGCCAGAGGAGCTAGATGCATTACATTCTGATGTCGATGCCAGCCTCTAAGGTAAGAACGCGATCAACACTGAGGGGGAGGGGGGGGGTCAGAGGTCAGGTTTTTCATGGTTTTTGTGGTTAGGTCAGGTTAGGTCCTTCCCTTATCCCTGTCATGGGGGAGGGGGCTTAACTCGAAAACGGGCGG